CAGCTCTTGGATCGCAGCCGGGTTAGGGTACTCACCACAGACCGCAGTGCCTCAGGAGCCTGTGATCCCTCCCTGCTTGCAGAGATATCCACAAACCTCCAGACAAAGGAAGGGCCTCCTGCGGGCACTCCGGATCTACCCCGCTCCTCCTCTGCACGCAGATGGCTATGCGTGGCTGGGCTCAGGCCGAGGTGCCTCAGGAACCCGGGACCCCTCCTCCTCCAGACAAAGGAAGGGGCCTCTGCAGGCGGCTCCGGATCCGCGCAGCTCCTCCTCCGCACACCGATGGCCAGGCGCGGCTGGGCACAGGCCGAGGTTCCTCAGGAACCCGGGACCCCTCCTCCTCCAGACAAAGGAAGGGGCCTCTGCAGGCGGCTCCGGATCCGCGCAGCTCCTCCTCCGCACACCGACGGCCAGGCGCGGCTGGGTACGGGCCGAGGTGCCCCAGGAACCCGGGACCCCTCCTCCTCCAGACAAAGGAAGGGGCCTCTGCAGGCGGCTCCGGATCCGCGCAGCTCCTCCTCCGCACACCGACGGCCAGGCGCGGCTGGGTACGGGCCGAGGTGCCTCGGGAACCCGGGACCCCTCCTCCTCCAGACAAAGGAAGGGGCCTCTGCAGGCGGCTCCGGATCCGCGCAGCTCCTCCTCCGCACACCGAGAGGCCAGGCGCGGCTGGGTACGGGCCGAGGTGCCCCAGGAACCCGGGACCCCTCCTCCTCCAGACAAAGGAAGGGGCCTCTGCAGGCTCTCTGGATCCGCGCAGCTCCTCCTCCGCACACCGACGGCCAGGCGCGGCTGGGTACGGGCTGAGGTGCCCCAGGAACCCGGGACCCCTCCTCCTCCAGACAAAGGAAGGGGCCTCTGCAGGCGGCTCCGGATCCGCGCAGCTCCTCCTCCGCACACCGACGGCCAGGCGCGGCTGGGTACGGGCCGAGGTGCCTCGGGAACCCGGGACCCCTCCTCCTCCAGACAAAGGAAGGGGCCTCTGCAGGCGGCTCCGGGTCCGCGCAGCTCCTCCTCCGCACACCGACGGCCAGGCGCGGCTGGGTACCGCCCGAGAGAAGCAAGTCTTGCTCACTCACACCTTTGTTTTGTGTAGTTCTGTGTTTCTTACAAACAGCTGGTATTTACGACACACAAAACTGTTATTCAGTAACTGTAGCAGGAATGACTGAGGAGCACTCTTGCAGGAAAACTCCTTTGTCTTGTGTCTCAAATTGTGCTAATGCTTTGCAGTCCACCTGGAAACTTTCTGTGAGCTGTTATTTTGTTCCTTGGGGTCCTGATCATTTTACCTTCAAGCAACTAAAAGGCATTGGACAAAACAGAATCCAAAGTGTCCCATCACAATTACTAATATCACTTTGTGATCCTACTATCTTCTTTTGAAAAGAAATTTTAAAAATATGGGTTTGTGGGTGATTTGTAGTTTATCATATTCTTTTTTGTATCTGTAAGGTTTCCCCATCTATGCCTTAAATAAGTACAAAATGTCTTATGCTTGTAGTTTATTTTAACTGGCATAGATTCCCTTTTCTTCTTGGGCTACACTTTACTCTCTTTTGAAACATCTTTAGAAGACTTTAATATAGCTTGAGGGTTTTGTTTATTCTTCAAAAAAAAAAACAAGTCATTCATATACTGTGTGTCCTCTCATTCTGTGCAGAGATTGAAGTCACTTGCTCTGGTTTGCCTGTTTTTTCTACAGATAATGTCACTTTCCACAATTTTTCAATTCAGAAGTTTCAAATACTTAAGAGTTTTAGAAATATGACAAGTACTTTTGATGTAATTTATGCTTCCGCATTAAATTTTTGCTTTACAAAACTAAATCTTTTAGTTATTATTAAATAACCTTATGCAATGACATTTAAAATTCTTTTCATGGGAAAAAAAACAGATTTCAGACATATAAAAACAGAAACCAAACTTTTTCACCCTAGAGAAAATTATTCATTGCTTCAAGTAGAATATCTGAATTATGAGTTTCAATACTATATCAATATTTCAATATCCTTACAACAGTTTCTTGTAAAGTCATCAGAGTAGCCTATGATTTTAAGTTAAATTGAATCAGAATAACTGCAGGATTTGGCTTGAGTATAGTGGTAATTAAATTGCCAGGCTACCCAGGACATGTGCAGTTGCAGCCACTAACTTCAGGAGTCCCCACTGCCATCTTCCTGCCTTTGGCCTCATTGGACAGAAACCTGCTGGCTTTTTAAAAAACGTAACTGTACATACAGTTTACTTATAAAGCTTGTAGAATATAGCTTTTGACTCAACAGGTCTGAGTTGGGGCTCAAATTCTGCATTTTTAACAGGCTCCCCATCAATGCTGCTTATCAATACTGATCATACTTTGAGGAGCAAAGATCTCTAAGACTATTTAGACTACTTCTGAATTAAGAAATCTAGAGGTGTTCAAAAAAAAGAAAAGAAAAGCAGGAAAACAAGAAGAAGATGTAATAAGAAAACTGGGAGTATGGAGAAGACATATTCATGTCATTTAAGAAATAAAATGGGCCCATAAGTCTTTCCTTGAAAAACTACAGTCTCCTCCTTGTTCCCTCTTTTCCTCTTTTCTGGATCTCCAGAGACAAGAGCATCCAACTCTCTCAGATCATCCTTTTGCAGTTCATCTTGACACCTCCAAATATCATGTATGTAGTGCTACTTTTTATTTTTATCTTTAGAAATTATTGGCTTGTCACAGTGAGAGAATTTGGAACCCTTTCGTGGATTCACCCGGATCCTGTAATCTTTACTACCACACATGTGCATTTTCCTGCTCCTCCACTTCTCAAAATTGTGTTGCCAGGTATGGTGGTGCATGCATGTAATCCCAGCACTTAGGAGGCTGAGACAGGAGGATTGCCATGAGTTGAAGGCCAGCCTGGACTACATAGTGAGTTCAAGACCAGCCTAGACTACATAGCCTGTCTCAAAAAAAAAAAAAATCATTGTGCTACAATATGGATCAGAAAATATTTTGTATTGCCATTATCATGACCCTATAAATATCACTGCAGCTGAGCCACATAAATATATTGTGATTACTTTTCCTTTCTTGCCAATTTTTTGTTTCCTCTGGAGTCGATGATTGTGTCATATTTTTCATTGTTGTTTTCTTAGTTCTTTAGTACATATTACCAGGTGATCCCAAAATTTTCTTTTACTTTTTTGAGTAGTCTTCCAAAATATTGAATCACTTGAAGAAAGCAACTAGTTTTTGTCCAGTCTTCTGGATTCCCTTTCCCGGAGTCTCCTCAGGGGTCTCTCCCATTCTGGCTTGGCTGCCTGTGATTGTGTATTGTTGTCACTTGGGAAAATTCGCTCACCATTGCCTGGAAGACTGCTTTCATCTCTCCTGAATCAGTTCCCCTATGTCTTTGATCCTTAGTTTACCAGCTATTTTAGTAAAGCATTTTCTCTAGAAGCGTCCTGACAACAGTGGATGTATGATACATGCTTGAGAACTTGCAGTTTGGAAATGTTTTCATGATATCACATTTAATCAAAGGTTTACTAGTCCATAATTTTAGAGTGGAAATCATTTCCCTTAGAGTATTGAAAGCCTTGTGCCTTTGATTCCTTATTTTTCTCAGTCTTGTCTCCTCTAATTCATGTTCTATACAGCAGGCAGAATGATCTTTTTAAAAATGTGTATTAGAGCAAATACTCCCTCATTGGTTTCTCATATTTCTTGGAATTAAAACAGAACTTGCTAGAATTTTCAAGTCCTTGAAAAGCTCGGTTTCATCTCTCACCCTATTTCTAGTCCTTGCTCTCTCTTTTCTTGGTATATAGTCACACTGGTCCCTATCACTGCTGGAATTTGTCAAGCTCCCTTCTTGCTCAGAAACATTTCTTTTGCTTCTGCCCATGGTCAGAATGCCTCCTGTTCATGGTTGCCTAGCTAATTCTGCTCACTCTTCAAGCTTATTTAAATATCACCTCTCCTGAGAACACACCATGGCCCCCAAAAGAAGAGGCATCCTTGCTTGTCACTTGCTGAAAATCTTGTACTTCTCTTTTGTAACCCTTATCTTAGTTGAATTTAATTAATTATTTAATTAGCAGTTTGGTTTTGCTTTTATTTCTCAGTATCAGCAGACTGAGTAGAAAGATGATGGCTCTTTTTTCGACAGCTTTCTCCATAATGCCTTGAAAATATCTAGAATGTTTTAGTTACCCTTCAATAAATACCTGTTGAACACATTGATTAATAGCTTCATTATAAAGAAATCAGGCTAGGGGCTTGGGATTTAGCTCAGCAGCATAAGCGCCTGCCTTGTAAAGCAGGTAGGCATGGGTTCGATCCCCGGTACCGATAAAAAGGAAAAAGGCAAAAAAAAAAAAAAAAAAAAAAAAAATCAGGCTAAATCCTAAAATATAGTTTTAGGAACTTTTCTTAGTTTAGAAAATCTCCTCATGGGGTCAGCTAAGACGTCTGCCTCCAATTCACTGGTTTTATTAATGTTTGTTTTGACTGTTCTTGGAGCCGAGAGAAATGCTACGAGGAAGGGGACAGAATCTGGGTTGACGAAGAATGGAGATTGTCTGCCTTCTAACCTAGCAATGTGTTAAGCAGTCTTAAGGAGAGATGGTGGCTGCACTGGCATTAATACATTTTCAATCGGAGCATGTGTTCTTACACCCTACCAAGCACACACATGCACACACACATGTGCTCAATAAATATTTGTTCAATTACAAAAGACATGATCTTCACATAAACTCTTAAGAGGTAAGAACTATTATATATTTTTGGGTTCAGATGAGGAAATCAAGTTACAGAGATATTTAAGTTTTCCATATTACACAGTCATTTAAAGGTAAAATTTACACTTGAACACATGCTGAGCTTGAGTTTTAAACCCTATATAATTTTTTACCCCAAAGCAAAGAAAATACAAAAGAAAATAATTTTTCAAATATTTGTAGAGATTTCAGTATATGCTTTGATGTCTTATCAGTTCTTTCTTTATCTTTTATAGAAAAATCTGTCATTGCTCAACCAACATTTATATTTCAAAAGGGAGAACAAACTTTTAAGGTAAGATGAATTGCTTTTCTTGGTTTTTACATTGTTTTCTTTGAGTTTTACTTTGACAAAGAAAATTATATTTCAAGACCCTGGCTCTATGGAGGTGTTACTGTTACCTAGGTTTACCTTGCTGTTCTCCACTATCAAAGTAGAGCCTCTACACCATTAACTGAGCAAGTATTTATAGAAGTCAGTTTGGCAGAAAAGTCAGTTTGGCAAAAAAGAGAACTCAGAGATGGTCTTGAAACTATCAGTAATATGTTTCTTTTTAAAAGAATATGTTTATTTGGAGTGACTTGAAAAGGGTTTGGGGGCCACAAGAAGGTAGGCAGGTCAAGCGTCCTCATGGATTTCCACCACTGACCTAGCTTAAAACTGACTATAATATAACTCTAAATTGTAACATTTGTTTGAAAAGAATATTATGGACCTTATTTGCTTTTTGAACATCATACCAAAATCATCTGCTGCATAACACACACAAAATTAACAGCATTCTTATTATTGTTTCCTGATATTTACCTTTGTTTATGCAGATCATTTACTTCCATACACATAAAACTAAGTAAAATAAAGGAAAACTCAACCTGTAAGCTTTGTTTAAAAGTAGATTCTTACCCCAGACCAACCACTTCAGAATCTTGAGGGTGGATACTTCCAAAATGTGCATTCTAAACACACTCCCATAAGTGATTCTGTAGTCACTGAAATATAAAAGTGTTACTCGATTTGTATATTTCTTAACAACACGCCTGGCAAATAATGATGAGCTGTTTTGTCCAGAAGAGGTTAGCTAGCTCTGGTTTTTGGGAACCGTGTTATAAAGCGGCAGGTAGAAATATACAAAAGCAGCAAATACTCAGCTTCATTGGCAACTTTGTGTCTTTTCAGAGACCCGCAGAAGATACCCTGCACGAAGCAGCACAACATGGTAATGATTCACATTCTGTACTGAAATATCAGTTCTCATACAAAGAAAAACAAATAGGCACAGACTCTGTAAAACTTGACTGTGTTGCATGCTTTTATACATGCATATACACTGGCGTTTGTTTCCAAAGGTGACATGTAGGTCCCTAGAAATGCTGATGTGAATGACTAAAAACTCACAATTCTCCAGTTTGTCTCTTAAACTCCCAAAAGTATTTTCAGTAGAACCTCAGAATGGACACATAATTTTCTTCTGAAGCAATTTATTTCTAATTATTTTATGCTAATATGACAACAGGTTTATAATTGCCAACCTATCAATCCCAGTATTTAAAACTGGGCTTTAACATGTTGCAAATGTTACCTATGATGACTAACGTTACAAATGATGACTTATGTAAACAAAAGGAAGTTCTGTCTATCCTGCAAGTGATATCCTCCCCTTGAATTTCTTGCAGGATGTAATGGTTTCTCAAGAAAACGTGTACGGTCTTCATCTTTTACTCTTCATAATACAGATTCTGGGTTCCATGGAGGTAGGTAAAGCCTTGACTATTGGCTGTTCATTGCTGTGTTTGTTCTGAATGTGACATTACTAAGGAACTTTCTGAAAGGGTAATGTTAAAAGTCTACCCATTGGACAATGTTTACATTTTAGTATAAAAATAAGCTATACTGTGGAACGTATAGTGAGTATAGCGTTGAAAAAAAATACTGATAGGACATAAGTCACAATATTAGCAGTGGTTATCTTAGGTATGGTAACAGAATTCCAAGTAGTTTTCTCTTCTGCCCCAGTTTTATATTTTGCAAAACCTCAAAGTTTCTGCATTGAGTGTGTATTAGCTTTGTAATTGAGGAAATGGTCATATTAAAAGTGACCATCTATTTAAATAAATGAATACCTATTCTTTACAAAGAACTTTCTCATACACTATATTCTGAGTCAGTAACTTAGTTTGTTTCTCATCTATATCAAAGTGTTTTCATCCTTTAGGGGTTAATTGTATTGCCTTCGGCCTCATGGTACAGCTGTTTGTTTGTTTGTATGTCTGTCTCCTCTAGTGTGAATTCCTTGATATCATCTTCACGCCTGATAGAGTGTCTTATACATGATCAGGACAGAAGAAACATTTAGTGAATTGATTGGAAAGTAAAGTAGTTTATACTCCTCATCAGAGATACTCTTCATTTATTTTTGATTAAAAATACAAAGATTTTTCTAAATTGTTGATTTAGAGTTTTTCTCAAACACCAAAAATCCAAATCAAAAGGAACAACCCTCCTCTTCTTTATTAATTTGAGTTTGTCATCTGGTTTTTGTGTCACCTTGTCTCAGAAGCCCCTGAGATCCTCATCCTTTACTGACTTCCCAACCTTTCCCGCTTTGGGCCAGGTAATAAAGAGTTTCTAGAACCCTAAGCCTGACACTCTGCTTTTCAAAATCATTCTTACTAATGATAAGTTTATGTTCTCAGGTGTCATAAAACGTTAATATTACCAACAAATCCAATAAAGTCCTTGGCAAAATATGCAGGGAAGTATACTTGATGAATACTAATTAAAAATCCAGACAGCATATGTTTTGTTTTGCTGGTAGGAAATTTGAACTTGACTTGTTTAGGACATCATGTTTATGATTATTTTATATAAGGCAACATTATAAAATAAAGGCAATTATGCCAGGGATTTAGGTTAGCGGTATAAACAGTTGCCTGGCAAGCTCAAGATCATGAGTCCGATCCCCAGTACCAAAAAAAGCGCAATTTATTTTATTGATTATAGTCCATCCTACATAGCTTGCATTGTACTGAAAATATGTAACTATGCTTTAGACTTATAGTTTAATGATTAGAATATGATCCCAATAGATTTTTACTAATTAAAACACTACTTCTCTCTACTTAAATTTTATGTTAAGTAGAGCTATCATAACAAATATTTGAAATGATCAACATTTTCTTCTCATTAAAATGATAACTTTATTCTTGTTTTGGTTTCTACCAAACTACCAACTGCCTTTCCTAAGCTAAGTTTGCCACTAAAAAATTAAACCTATTCATTTCTTTTTAACCATTGCCCCTCTGCCTAGGAACTAGAGTTTGCAAATGAATGGATCAAATTCTTATTAATAAGTATAAGCATAAGTGAATAACACTATGTCAAGGTACCTTTCAGATATTGAAGAGATCTTCCTAGCTCAGCAGATTCTTTCTTAACCCACTGGCAATCTACAGACATTAGGAGAAATAGAGAACTTAATCTCAGAAGCAAAATGTTCTGTTTTATTATATTTGTGTGTAAAGCAAAGTGGTAGCTTTAAGTTACCTACAGAGCCACTTCAATTCATTTAAATTCATTTTCTAAAACCAGACACACACGAAGAAAGAATAAAATAACAATTATATCAGTAAACACTATTACATTTTATATTGTGAAGAATGCTGATGACACTGAAAATGAGAAAGCAGTACAGTTTTATATGGATAGTTTTTTGTTGGTTTTCAATAATAAAGATCATAAAATCATTAAATCTTAATTTGAGAAGCAATTCTATCTCCGCATTTGTAATATAATACTTGCAAAAACAATTCTTATTCTTTTATCATGTCCATAAAGCAGTTGCTGTTTCTGCATTTTCCAATTAAGAGGATTTTCCTACCCCTTGAAATGTAATGCTTGCAGCCATGCCCAGTCTTATCCCAACAACATACTTACAGAAAAATAATTCAGTGTAATGGGCATCTCTACTTCTGTCTTCAGGTACATTCATTAAGAAGGAGTTGAAGGGAGACTGCTGATAGTTTTGTAACATTTTAAAAAATGTTTTGTATTAATGCACACAGGAGTCTAACACCAAATCAGATTTTTTTAATCTGCAGTTTCTTACAGGATAGTAGTTCATGATTAGAAATTATCTTTTCTTTCTGTGACCTAATTTTTACTCAGATTTTTGAGAGTAGGTAAATAATATTACCTAGCAAAATTTGGCAATCCCATTTTTACCAGAATCAATCCTGTAGAGGGCACTGCTGCTACTGTTAACGTCAATAGTGACACCTACTGGTGAGTTCACAACAGGACTTTTTGACCCCCACTGGTGTACTTCATGCACTTCTACTGACTAAATTTTTACTTTTTATCTTACAGTAAAAAAACACAATGTTTTTATGACATCAACTCTCGTGCAAAGGAATTTTGATATGAACAGTGTAGAACAAGGTATGGAGCTTCCTTTTCAAGAACCTCAGATATATTTACTATCTATATTTAATCTACATATACATATGTTTTGGTTATATGGTGGTAGAGCAGAATCATATAACATAAATAATAAAAACATCTGGTAAGCCAGGTTGTAAGGTCAAAATAAAAACTTACAAAAGCAAAAGCTAGACAGGGAGGAAGTGGTTGGCAATCTGATTGGTTAACAATAGTTCTTAATTTAATTGTAATACTAGAAAATAGCATGATATTAGTCAAAAGTAAGGAGAAAAGAGTATTTCACTAAAAAGATATTGACTCTAGGGGCTGGGGATTTAACTCAGAAGCATAAGCGCCTGCCTTGCAAGTGTGCAGTTGTGAGTTCGATCCTGGTACTGATAAAAAAAGAAAAAGACAAAAAAAAAAAAAGATATTGACTCTTTAATTCTGTTCTTTTAAGGTCCTGTAAAACACTCTGAGTATGTTCTAAGACCTGCTATTCTGCAGCCACCTCAAGTTCAAAGCTGTGAAAATGGAAGCAAAATATGTTGGCACAATGAGTCAGAATCCTGCAAGATTAAAGAAAAAACAAAACATAAGGTAAGAAAAACTCCTGTGGCACACTGGCTTCACTCCCTCATCTTTTTCCATGAGAGGTTGTTTTGGAACCCACATTTCCAATGTTAGGGCCCACCTGAGAGTTAAGCAACTGCCAGGCTGATAAAACACCCAGGATAGATCTCAAAAAGCCTTGCTGATCATATTAAATGTCTCCTCCTAAATTACAGTTTTTGCACTCTGTGAAGCTGAAGCAGGAAGATGACAAGTTTAGTGCAGCCTGGGCAAAGTAATGATCTAAGATCTTCCCTCAATTAATGGACTGGGATGTCGCTCAGGGCCCTCGGCTCAATCCCCAGTAACAGAAAAACAAAACAAAACAAAACAAGAATTGCTCCCTTGAACCAATCTTGTGATCACTCTAAGTGGTAAAGCTGTGAGAACTGGGCAATGAAAACCTCTGGGACTTATTTGAGAGTATTGTTCTCATAAGAGAATTAGAGAAGCAATGATGAAGGGAGCAGAATCAGTCATCGAAAAAGGGAGGCGAATGTCCTGCATCCCAGCTGTTCAACACTGTAGCGTGGCTTTGGCAGTTTAAGTCACACCAGAGGTCCACTCCAGACCCTTATTCCTGGACACAGGAGCAGTGGACGTGCTGTGCAGTGTAATTTGGAGGGCCTGGGCAGCTTCTGGAAGACATAAGAATTCTCTCCACTAACTACAGAACTGTCTGATTATTCACTAAACTTTTCTAAGCAGATACTCATTTTGTTCAGGTGCTGCAGGTACGGGTCCAGGGATCATTTATTGCTATAGCTTTAGGTGTGCCTTCCACAGAAGCAGACACTTAGGAGAAATGGAGCACAAGACAGGCACTGTAGCTAGAATCTGAGTTATTATTCCATCAGCTATTTGTTTCCAGAAAACTACTGAGGGTCTCATTTTGTTTCTTTTTCCATTCTGAACCTACAGAACAACCCAAGTGAAAAACATAGCCCCTTGGATTCGATTTTTTAAAAAATCAGAATGAAACTTAATTCCGCCTGTTGTAACCTTCTATATTTATCCAAAGCACCTGGCATTCTCTGTTTATTAGTAAAACGAAGGAGTTGAATTTGGTTAGCATTTACCAACGTTTTTATATTTCCAAACCCTTTTTTTGTGAGATATAATTTAGTAAGACCCATTACAATTTTAAAAATCATTTGATCAATTAAGCACATTATATGATAAGTAGTTTTTAAGTAGAATATATTTTTAATTTTCATCAATGTGGTAGTAAAAGTTTGCATTAAAATATAATTTAAAAGCCAGCATGGTGGCGCATGCCTGTAATCCCAGCACTTGGGAGTCTGAGGCAGGAGGATCATTGTAGGTTTGAGACCAGCCCAGGCTGCAAAGTGAGCTCAAAGCAAGCCTGAACTGCATAGTGAGACACTGTCTCAAAAAAAAAAAAAAAAAAAATATATATATATATATATATATATATATACATATATATATATGTATATGTATATATATAATTTAAAAATTATCACATTATACAAGTTATTACTCTATTAATAGTTATTACTCTATTATTTAGGGAAAAGTATGTTAATTTATTTTAAATTACATAAGCATATAAATTGACCAACATAAAAACATTATATTTCATTTGATTTGGAATGGAGTATCAAAATTTTGATTATATGGTTTGATGTCAAAATTAGGTCAATATTTCTTTCTTGGCATGCTTTTTATAACTCTTTAATTATATACTTTAAAAACAAAATTTGTTAATATGTCTTATATTTTTTTTCTTTTTTTTTTTTTTTATCAGTACCAGGGATTGAACTCACAACTGCCTGCTTGCAAGGCAGGTGCTTATGTTGCTGAGCTAAATCCCCAGCCCCAATATGTCTTATATCTTTGCATAAATGACATTTGCTTCCAAGTATTTCCTCTTGAATAATTTATAAGTCCTAATGAATAGAAATTATTTTTAAGTACTGACAAATCCAATTGGATATGTCCATTATTGAGTTTTCAGTATTATGAAAATTATTTGGAGATCTATAGACAGTATGTATAAAATACACTGTAGGACATTTTAACAAATGAATGTAACTTGCCACTAGTGAAAATTATCCCGAGATAAATTTTGTAGAATAATTATTTTTGTGTTCTCTATTAACATACATGAACATCAGAAGTTATTATTCAGCCTGTCATTAATCAGTGATCTCTCATTATGGATACATTAAATAATATATACCTAAAGAACTATTTTAAGCAACATAAGAGTAAATACTACCATTCTGGTTGAAAGATAAATTGAGTATGTACTATAATCTTTGCTAACCACACACATGCTCTCCTCATACATATTTATCAGTTTTCAAATTTCTATTATAAAAGAGAAAATATATTCATTTTTATTGATAGAAAAATTTAAGTAGAAACAGATATCACTTGCCTCTAAAAACATGAACCTCCAGACATCTTTGCAAAAATTCCTGAGGTAGGAGCAGAGAGCTGTCCACAAAATAATGTAAACATTAGACCAGATATAGGTCTCTTCCTAATTTTAAACTTTCTTATTTCTACATTTATGTATTCATACAGGTAATGTGTGAAATACATGACCATAAGAGAGAATAACTCATTTATTCATAGACTAGTAGAAAATCTCATGATGAAGATGAGCTTCCTTGTCTGACGTTCCTATAGTAAAGCAATTCTAATGAATTTTTTTGGTGGATTTCTTTTCTTTCAGATTTCTGAGGAGAACTCCGGGTTATTAAGTGAAACTTCACCAATTTCCAGAATTTCAGCTGAACATTTTTTAGGTGCAGCATTAGTAGGGTAAGTTAGTATAGAGTCCATGTCCCTTAGCAAAATATTTGGGTCTAAACTTGTTTTAGATTTTTTCAAAATTCTAAATATTTGAATTATACAATTAAATATATCTTTAAAATTCATTTATATTTCAAATATACCTCAGACATGTACTCTAAAGGCAATTTTACACAATATTTTTAATAACTTTGTTCATTTTGATGGTGGCCCATCCCACGAGCTAGAAATTTTCCAACTGTGATATTGTCCTTCTAAGAATGTCATCATAGACATTCTTAGAAAACAATTTTCTGACACTGTACGGAATTGAGGAGAATTCCATTTGAAAGACTTCTTTTTTTAATAGTACATATTTGTAACACAGGGTAATTCCACTCACCTTGGGGAATTGCTGCATACTCATATCACATCTTAATCATTTTTACTTCACCTTTCCCTCCCAGCTCTGCTATCTTTTCCCATTCCCAGATTCCCTTCCCATCACTACAAAGTCTACCTGCCTATTTTCTATAATCTATATTTTATTTTGCTCTTTAAGCCATTTATGTTTTGGGTTTCTCATATACGTAAAGAACATACAATTTTAACCTTCTGTGTGTGATTTACTTTCTTTAACAACATGATCACAAGGTGCATCCATTTTCTTACAAATGACGTAAGCTTATCCTTCTTTATGGCTGAATAGTGTGCAATATATACCACACCCTTTATCTCACTGTTGATGGGCATGGAGGCCATTTCCAAGATTTAGCTATTATGAGTGGTGCTGCTATAAACAAAGGTATACGGATAGGATGTCCTTCATGTTTTCAGGAAAATACCCAGAGAAGGTAGGGACAACATCTTGCTGTGTTACTCAGGCTGTTCTTAGGCTTTTAAGCTGACTAGTGGTCTCTGCACTCCTCACTTCTCCTGAAGACTCCTGAATGCTGGGATTAGAGGCATACATCTTCGCGGCATGTTTGAAAGAATGTTTTATAAGCATACAAGTTTAAAATGCTTTTCAAAATATCTTTAGTGTTTCAAATATCCTATTAGTATTGGGTTGTCTTCATTGTCTCACTGACTTGGGTTAGGATGTTTCAAAGTTATACAATGAAGCTTCAGTTAGGCATTAATGATATGGTTATTAGATTTGTCTTCCTTCCTCTTTCTCTGACATTCTTTTTTCCCTCTTTTATATTATCTTTTTGTCTATTATTTATTGACCTAAGTGTGTAAACACACAGGAAAGTGATGTAAATCTACAACAAAACAAAACAAAACAAAACAAAAAGAGTTAAGCCAGACACAGTGGTGTACGCCTACATGGGAGGCTAAGAGGGTTAAAATTCAAGTCCTGCCTAGGCAACTTAACCAGAACTGGTCTCAAAATAAAAACTAAAAAGGGCACGTGCAAAGGCCCAGGAGTTCAATCTCCAGTATGGAAAAAAAAAGTTAATATTTCTTAGTATTTTTGGTGATAAAGTAGGACTGTTTGATGAGAGAGAATATTAGACCTAGCTGTGCACATACACTGAGTTACATGAATTGGCTGCATCAGCAGCACTGGCCTACTGTGCATATTGGAGATGCAATGGAGAACCCAAAGCACGATGAACATAGAGTCACATGTTTCTGAGGTTCTTACCATGAAAAACATCATTTAAAAAAAAGTTTCTAGGAAAAAATATTAAATTAATGCACACTCAGGTATAATTGATGAGATAGATTAGCTTTGCTTTAGTTCTGATTATCTCTATTTGCTAAAAGCATCATCAGCACTTGGGACAGAAAAGAATGACAATTAACAGGAGGGATTGTGCTGGAAAAGCAGAAAAGCAAGAACAGGGCAGCCCCAAGCCAATCACACAGTCAGCATAGACATGGGCCCAAATGGTCTGCAAAGTCAATGCCAGTGCTTCAACACTTGGCAAGTATGTTGAACATCACCTCTGGAAGTACCTGCCTTATTTCTGTTAATTTCTTATTAACGTCAGGGGAAAAATCATCAATAAATGTTTATGCTTTATGTAAATCTATTAAATCATTTGATTTTTTATTGCTAAGGCTTATAGTAATTTACTCATATATATAAAACAGCAATTTCTTATTTCTTATTCTCAGATGTCAACCAAATGAAGATAAATGTTCTAGTAAAAGCTGCAGCTCTGACTTTGTTTTTGGAGAAAACATGGTAGAAAGAGTTTTGGTAAGATTTTGACAAATATTTCCATTATGTTAGACTATCACTTTAATTTCTGAAGGCAAATTAATTAAAAGTAGTGTTGAACTGTAGCATACTGGATTCAAAGGCTCTCTCTCTCTTTAACTAGAAAGGTTCTCCCGGGGTGCACGTCCTAGTTAGAATAAGAAAAACCCAGAAAGGAAAAGAACTGCATAATTATACCATTATTACTGTGGCAAAATATTAAATAGTTCTTTGAGTCATGTTAAAGCAGAAGTACCTGAGGAAATCCCATATTATCTGCAGTAGTTAAATAAGCTCAACTGGTAGTGACATTTAATTTTTAATAACATTTTATGACAGGATGCATTCAAAACCATAACAAAGTATTCTAATTAATTACAACTCTACCCTTCAGACTGTTACATCCAAAAGCATTATTATAACTTCGTTTGGTAGCTTTTAGGGCAGAAACACAGTGCTTTGTTTGCCTAGGGGAACATACATACCAAGTGAAATCTCTTAACTACTGTTACTATCATCTTTATTTAATACTGAGCATTTCCCTGCATGAGCTCAGCCTTCTGTAGCTCTGATTTCTAAGACAGCATAATCTAAGAAGCGTCTAAGTCAAAGCTGTGGAGCAGCTGTGACTCTGAATTCATCTGGTCTCTCATAGATTTTTGCTTCTTTCAACTTTTACCCAGACCAGGATCATGGTTGAAATATGTCCAAGGTGGCTGCTTATCTTAGAGTTACTAGTTATATGAGAAATCCTAAAGAAGTTGCAGAGACTTTTTAAAAAATTGTAAAGACTCAGTTTAATAGAAGGGCCAACTCACAATGTCAGTTTATTCCAAGATTATTAATGCTTTAATAAGTTAACCATTTTTTTTATGACCTTGCTTATTCTAGACCTGCCTCAGTCTACCTCTCAGTTCCAATAAGTAGTATTGTAGGTTTTTTTAGCTTTAAAAGCACCTTTTTGCCATTCCCAAGAAAGTTAGCTTCAATAACCCTAGAGTTGTTGACTTTCATCTTTGGACCTGAACCAGAATTATGAAGCTCTAGGGTGACACTCCATGCAACATATTTAGACATGCTTATTTTTGTCATTTTAAGTTTGACATGAGCCACAGCTTCTGTAAAATTGTCAGGCAGAACTAAGATGTTTTCCAGTCCTCACAGGACCAACTTGAACACTCAATTCACCAAACATGTTTTGACTTCCATGATACATAAAGCAAGGGTCTCTTGTTTGGCTGCATATTAGAATCATGTGGTGATTTTTAAGAACTTTAAAGAATTTCTTATGCCTGGGCTTCACCCTGAAGCAGTTATGTTAGGATCTCTATAGGTAATACTAGTTATCAAGTAATTCTAATGTATAGTCAAGTTTGAGAGCTATCAGGGTAAAGTCGTGTAAAGTGGTCACATGTTTCATAGCAGGATATATGATTACGTAGGAGGAGACTTGTGCTTCATAAAGATTACAGAAGTTTGACTTGACATTTCCAATGAGGGTTTTGAATTTGGTTTATAAAAGAGTCTAAATTTCCTATGTCCTTCAGATAGCAATATAGTAAAGGATAATATGAACTATGGAGATAATTTGTAGTATTCCTCGATAATTTTGTAAGCCAGTGGCCCTGAACTATGGGTGTCAAGATGCACTTTTGGTTACTGGTTGACAATGTATGCTTGGTGTGAATTTAAGAGCCTGAGTTTCTATTTTCTTTCTTTTTTTAAAATCTATTTTCTTAAAATGAAGATAATTATACTGGTCTATACCAATTTTAATGGGAATCTTGATGTCTGATTCAGCCTTGAATTCATAAAGGAAAATATATAAACAAAAATATTCAAGTATATTGTGCCATTTTTCCCTGTTCTGTAGGGTCCTATCATTGTTCATAAATGACATCAGGTTTTTTTTTTTCATTCAGGCGTTGATCACATTAGATGTATACATTCCTCAGTATGCAGCCTTAAAATCAATGTTGGCGATAATTGTCTTGGAGGAAAAGTTAGGATTCTTTCTACACAGGTGTTTTCTGACATATCTAATGGGGTTTTCAGATAAGTTTTTTTTTCCTCCTTTAAGTGGATAGTAGGAGTGAGTTTTGGGAAATACTTCAATCACTTGAAACAGAGATGAGGGCAGCCTTTCCTAGGCACCTGATCTAGTTAGTAGAAGCATGGAATGGCCATTGTCTTCTGCACCACTAGAACTTTTTCCATTATTCCTGGACATTCGAAGTAGGCTGATGGTAACTAGATTATGGTGTTTTGTTTTGTTTTGTTGTTTTTGACAATTAGAACCAAGGGCCTCCACCAATAGGGAAGATTTCCTTGATCAGCACACAGGGAGCTGCAAACAAAAACACAGCAGCTGGGTTTGTATGCTATATCGAAATAGAACAACAAAATTATCTTTTGGCTTACTGCAAGTATACAGGGATAAAATTAAATAACGCATCTATTCCCTACCTAGGGCACTGAAACACTAACCCAACCTCAGCTTGAAAATGATTCAGATGTCAAGGAAAAAACATTTAAATCCATTCTAAAATTTCCTATCAACTCTCCAAAATCAAGTAAGAATTTTATTATGTATAAAACATTAGATATAAGTACTTTGTCAATATCTGTCTATAAAATTAAAAGCAAAACAATCTAGTATTTAAACAATTTTGGTAAAGGTTAAGATGTATAAATATAGCAACTTGATAATACAAGTTTTATGAACATTGCAATTTAATGCTATGGGGGAGTCAATCAGCAGTTTTTACCTAGCGCAATATTTTGACTTTTTATATATAAGGAGACATGCATGTATACAGTGGCAACAGGGAACATTTATAGGAAAAAAATGAGGTTTTTATGTGCACCTCCCCAATTTCTCTTAGGAACAAACTCTGTTAAAAGTACATCTCTAATTGAATCAGCTGCCGCTTTCTCATCCCAACCATCACAAAAATGCTTGCTGGAGAAAATTGATGTTATAACAGGAGAGGAAACAGAACACAATGTGTTAAAGGTCTGTATGTGCATATTGTTCTTTCTGGTAGTACTCACAAGTTTAGAATAAAGTTAATATCAGCAGGGATATCTTAAAAATGCTGACAGAAATAGAGTTTTCAGGAAGACTAAGTTGCTGAAATAAAAATGTTAGAGGCTTACAAAGCTTAAACCATTAAGTTAGTATCTTCTTACCTTTCTATGTACAATTTGCAGGAAAGTGAGTTGTTGAGTTTACAATGGTTCCAAAGATCCTGTCTTAAAACTTCAGTCTTACTTTACACTTTCCATGACTGCTTTTATAATCATTGCTATTATCACTAGTCATCAACTTCTACTTACACTGAAGGTTTTTTAATGTTCAAAACATGAGTTGTTTTAAGTTTAAAATACAATTTTTATTCCTTTTACGGTTTAGAATTTTGCATAAATCAAGTTTACTATATGTACTCTACAGTCACGTTTGAGTGTTAAATGGAAACACTCAGGATACCATAACTGGTAATTTTTCAACAAGTCAAGGATTTTCCTTTACCTTTCTCCATCTGCTTTTCTTCCAAATTCTCTCCATTCCTGTTCACATTCTCCACAATCTAAGGATAATTTCACTCTAAATGAATGTGTCTCAAAGCATAACTCTTGGACCAAATAAATTGCATCTTTATTGCATTAATTGTTAAATGTAAAGCCCTGGCATGCTAGGGCTTTTAACTGGCTGTCTAGGTGATTCATGTACACAGGAGTATTTGAGAACCACTGTTAATCATTAAACTATAAGAGAGGACCTTCTTGTATCACATCACAGTTTTCCAACTTTTCATCCTGTCTGCAAATTTTAAACATGCAAATATCTCCATGATTTCCTTACTTTCAAATAAAATTATTTAGCACAAAAATACTAAACTGTAACAGTTGTTACCTGTAATGGGTGGAATTTGACAGCTGAGGAAGAAGGGTGGAGAGTATTTCTCACTCTGTATGTCTTTATTTTGTGAAGTTTGAACTACTCAAAAATTGCATACTGTTAAAAGTTAAATACATTTTAAAAGGCTGGTTATAAATCATTAACCAAGGTTATTCTGGTAAAAGTTCAAACAGATACAAAAGTTCTATAGCATAGGAAGTAATTTACTTTGAAAAAATTTCTGTACATTTGACATTTTTAAAAATTGTCATTTAGATCAACTGCAAGCTTTTTATATTCAACAAGGCAACACAATCCTGGATTGAAAGGGGCAGAGGAACTTTGAGACTGAATGATACAGCAAGCAGTGACTGTGGGACATTACAGTCAAGATTAAGTAAGGAATCATTTCGTAAAGCAAGCCATACTTTCTCAGGGTAAAACTGCTAATATAGGTACATATTGCTTTCTAGACACATGTTATAAAACACATCAATAAATCAGACATTTGAAAACCATATTATTTTTAGTGTACTCTAGAGGCTTCCCTGGTGACTTTCTTATAGTCTTCATGGATTCCAGTTCTGGTTTTACCACTAGCTTCTTTTGGAAAAGTGACCAAACTACTTTCTATCCTAGTTGTATCAGCTTACAATGGGGATAACTAAAGTTTGCAAATTCTTAAACAATTGTGAGAATTCAATGAGATACCATATAAAGCACCTTTGTCAAACCCCAGAATGATCTCAATATTAGTTAGAAGGAATATGTTGCAGATCATCCTGAAAAGTGAAGTTTTTCAAAAAGAAAATACCTATCTCATAATTTATCTTGCCATTTCCTACATGGTGTGGGCTCAGTATCTAAAGAAACAAGTGTGGGGCTCTTGAATCTTGTAGACAGAGTGATGCTGAGACGCAGAAGTTGGTCAAACTGAAAGATCCAAGAGGTTTGGATACACACCAGGCCTGTTTAGAATCTCAAATGAAAGTGAACACAGGCAAAGCTTGGCACTGTGAATGGTTTGGCAGGCATTTTTGACAGCTGAAAGCTTAGAGTAGACTATATATAAGACTGGACCAAAGTACACACCTATTTGTTGAATTTCAGATATCAAGCTTAAGAAACAGGTAAGGAATAGAGCTCAGATTAAAAGAATAGGAAGAACAAAAAAATAGGAAGAGTGCTTTTAGTTCTGAAACTGACCAGTAGGTTTCCAAATAAAGTAGTACTAGCTGTTCTTTGCTCTGGTTTAATTCCAGTGCATGCAGAGAAAAAAAAAAAAAAAAAAACATTAACACCAAACAAAATTTCAAACCAAACCAAATTTTATTATGCAGGTAACATTTAGTCACTGTATAAAAAAGAAAACAACTGGATCAAAAAGAAAAAATAAAATCACCCGTCTTCCTGAGATAATCTCTGTAAACAAAGTATCTTCTTGTGGATATTGCTTTTTATATACATATATGTACACAGATTGCCAAACTTGTGATTCACGGTGTTACATTGTTTCAGAACCTGATATTTTCTTTCATATAGTCTATTATGATTATCTTTTCACATCAATGTCTTTCTTCAGTATTCTTAATGGTTTCATGATATTCTCTTGCGTGGCTGGACTATAATTATTTAATTTTTTATTGGTAGTTAAGATTTTCAGACTTTTTCCATTTTAAACAACTCTTAGATAAATATTCTTCAGACTAATAGGCCTTAAAAGTTATAAAATTTAACCTTTTAAAAATATTATAGTAAAAAAAATATTATTGTTAAAAATATGTGTAGCATTAAGCTTTAAAAAACCCCTCTCGACATAATAAACACCAAATACAATTTGCACACCAGGTTGTAATCTAGTCAAATTACAATTTAATAGTGAAAATATAGTCTGGAAAATTGCAAGATTTACTTTGCTTTCAAAAATGGTGACTTTCCTGGAAGGCTAAGGAATCAAGAATTGTAAACTGATAATATTCACTTTTCTGCTACAGTTATGCGCAATCAAGGGAGCCTGAGGCTGATCTTCAATAGCAAACTATGGGCTCAAATGAAGATTCAAAGAGCAAACCAGAGAAATTTACAAATAACAGCTACTGATTTAGAAGACAGTAGCATCAAAGTATTTTTAATTCAGGTAAATGACAAATTTTAGGACAAAGGATTATCCTATTAATACTGAATATTAATAGATCTCTACAACTTCTATTTTTTTCCACTTTATCATGATAATCTATCCTGTTGGCAAGGAAAGTAGTCATTTATTATGGTTTTTATAGTTTAATATAATATCTGAATTGTATATGGAATTCAGAAATTACCCCAAGGCCTAATCAACTGGTATCCAGCCCAAGACATTTGTTTAATATATGCCATCTATTCTGTCGATTACTACTTTACATATGTCAACAATCTCACTATGCTATATTATCCAAGTAACCAGATTGTCAGGAATGTCTCCAGAGGGTGGTCTGTAAAATCCCAAGCCTGATGGCTTGTCCTACAAGCTGAGATGGAGAAATCTTTGCGATCACTGGAAAGAAGCCAGTGAGAAAATGGAAAAACACAGGAGTAGCAAGTTACAAGAAGTCCAGCAGCAAATTCTAATTCTGAACATGAGTAAATTTCCAAGGTAACAGGATGGAAGCACAGATTAGCTCATCCAGGCAGCAGAAATGCTTGACCTCAAATATGAGATCCAGACACAAGAAGGCTGCCAAGAACAAAGCTCTTCTTCCTTTCCCCTTCAAAAGCTGTGTTTCACCCATAGGCGGAAACCCAGAAAACTAGAGGAGACTGAGTATCCAGGTAATTTAGACAAAATGACAATACAAATAAAATGGTCCTGTAGTAAAATGGAGAAAAAATCTAGTATGTGCCCAGTGGATTAAAAAGCAAATATTTATGCTGATCTGAAGAGAACCCAAAAGTTTTAGTAACTGTGAGTGTACAGTCAGGTACACGTGACATCACGTTTTAAAATGTTAGGATAAGATGATGTTTAAAGTATGTTTACCGTTGAGAAGCAGAATATTTGATACTTGACCAGGCCAGATCCCTTGGTTTTTAAGTGAGTAAGGCAGGGTGCCAGAAACAGTGACCAACACTGTTAACAGTGGTTAGACTTCCCGGCTTACTACCTGACTCATGCTGACTTTTTAAACTGTAGAACCTTTACTTAGAGATAAGCAACTTAAATAAAAGTTGCTCAATATTCCGCCTAAGAGATGGTACTCATTAATATTTTAGTTGAATACTGTGTAGATTGAGCACTTCTGAATCAACAATTTGAAATACAAAATGCTCCAAACATTGAACCTAAAATCCCCAATGTGTTGTTATAAGTGGGAGATTCCACAGCTGATCTCATGTGACAGGTCCCAGTCCAAACACAGGTATGTTAAAACTATTGTATAAAATTACTTTCAGGGAGCTGGGGGTTTAGCTCAGTGGCATAAGCACCTGCTTTGCAAGCAGGCGGTTGTGAGTTCGATCCCCAGTACCGATAAAAATGAAAAAGACCAAAAAAAAAAAAAAATTACTTTCAGACTATGTGTATAAGGTATATACAAAACAAATGTGTATGTAAATATTCCAAACTCTGAAAAAGTTCAAATATATATATAGCCTTCAGGCAAGTTTCTTAGCCTTCCTAAATTGATTTACTCATGTGCAAATGAAGGTAACAATAATATTACACTTTATAAAGCTATTGAGATTAAACAACAAAAGTGATTGTGGAAAAAATCATATGTAATTTCACTTACTAATGCAAATGAGTGTTTTTCATGCCATTAGTTGCTTATTCTTCCAAATTTCTTTTAGTAGATGAAAGAATTCTATTGTTGTGTTTCTTAATTTATTCCATTAATCCCACTGATTTGAATGACAAAAACCTGAGATTCAAGTCCCAGCAATTTGCTGGGTAACTGTAACCCAGAAAACTCATTTTACTTTCTGACCCACAATTTCTCTGTTTGTTAAAGGAAATGAGTATTGAACGCCTGTGCTACCCATTTTTGCTAACATAAATGGAATAAATAATGAACCCACAGTATTGTAAGAACTTAATAAAAACAGAATACAGCAGTTACTGTTACACCAAGGGTACTTGTTATCATCATTTTTATATTAACAGCAACCATAAAATAGCATAGAACAGTACTGAGAGACAAGAACTTGTGGTGTGTTTTTGGTAAACAGCATAAGTTGCTCTAGTGAGTTTTGCTCCTCTACAAAGTTATGTGGCTTAGAAGAGTGTCTAACCAAAGTAATGGAAAGGAAATAGACGCCTTGTTTCTCCAACTCTACAATTTTACAGTGTAAAATAGTTGAAGGAAGAATGGTTGTACCATACTGAAGTTCAAACAGAAATATCTTAAACTACAAAATTTTATTTCCTCAATTGAAAGCATATACAGAACTACTCAAAGTTTAAGATGAAATTTGGTACAAGATTTTTTTTTTATCTAACTTGTAGGAATGTTAGAACTTATTCTAGATTTAGATAAAACATCTCGATTTATGCCCTACGATTCTTTCTTTACTAATAGTGAAAATTAAAAATCTGTAAAATGTAATTAGTAGGTGATTTATATTCCTAACAATTTAATTTTCCTCTCTCAGGCTGGTGCTAAAGACACAGGATATCTTTATGCAGCAATACATCATCGTCTTGTTGCCCTGCGAAGCTTCAATAATAAGCAGAAAGATGTCGATCCAGCTGAAAGTCAGTCAGAAAGAGTCCGCCAACAAGTGAACTATGAAAGCTGTGACGAGGATGAGGATGATTTCATCCAAGTCACCAAGACTGGATCAGGTAATTAGGTCAGAGGCTTGAAACAGAAATCTTAATTTTATTGATTGTTGATTAGTATTTTGGTGCTGGGAACTGAACTCAGGACCTTGCACTTGCCAGGCAGGCACTGTGCCACTGAGCTACATCCTCAGCCCCAATATTGATGTTAAAAAGTAAAAGTGATCTACTTAAAGTGTGTGGTGGTTAGAACCTCGTCTGTTTTGATCTGAGGAGCAGGCTGGAAAATCATTGTCTTCCATGAGTGGTCTTCAGTAGGATCTTATCAAATCAGCCTCACTGTAATTCCTGCAGGTCATTTGTCTATAAACTTGCATAAAATACTATCCTTATGAGTTAAAGAATTATATTGCTAAACACTTATTTCTGCTGTTCTCATTCTACTAATGGCTATAATAGGAGGAATTATAAATACATATTATGGGGCCACAGGTAAATATGATTTAAAACCCTGAAATTACCTTAAAAAAAAGCCTACACTGTACAAATAATGTCTTTAAGGTCTGCTTTTGCCTAGGTCAAATAAATTACTATTTATCTTATTGTGTCAGGATTTACAAATTATGTATGTTTGAAGAAGATATTAAAATATTAGTTCTTTTGTTGAAAGGTTTTAGCTATGTGGAAACATTATAATTGTACCAAATTGTACTCAATCTTAATTTAGGTTGAGGAAGAGCCAGGAGCAAAAGAGTTTTAGATTTCAGTGCGTACTCTGATGTGTGGATTTAAAAGTATTATTTATGATTATTATTTTTGGAAAAAAATATTGTCAAAGAACTAGAAAGCACAATTTTGTTATATAGATGTATCTATTCTAATTAAGCCATCCATTCAAGTTTTTTTTAGTCAGTTTTTACTTCATTGTGAATTCTGTGCTACAGTGTAACGTAGTTAAAAACACAGGGTAGTTACAAGCATTTTCAACTTGTAATCATTTTAAAACTTTAAAGTTGTTTTTAATCATCTAATTTAAAAATTTATCAGAGAACATGTGTAGAACTGGATGAAAGATCTTTGCTTATTAATAAAAATATAATCAAAAGGAAAAATACATGAAACTTTCAGATTAGGATCTAGCCTGAGTGACTCAGTAAACCAGAGAACTAGAAGAAAATGATTTTGTTGTTACTTTAAACAAATCTGTTAAACAAATAGTTTATTATTCTCTGAAGCACCTGAAAGTAATAAAATTACCTTTTACGTTTATATTGTTAATAAAATGGGATGTTAAAAAAAATCAGTTGATTACCATTAAAAATGTCAATATGAAATAGGTACTAAATAACAAAATTTCCCCATCAATGTATTATATTCTCTTTTAGAAAAGAGATGATATGCAACTTTCTTAAAGTAGAAATAAAGCAAAGTAAATGAAATTTCCTTCCTCTGCCAGTTTTCCCCTTTTTACTTAGTATTTTCTCAAGGAGGTACTGCAAACAAATGCTACTATGTTATGGAGGGTATAAAATGGTTTTTCCTTTTTACTTTGATATCATGAATTAAGAAGAATTTTAAGTATTTCAAAATGTTATGATTAAGATTATTAGCAAGAATTCCCAATGTAATTTACAAAAACGTAGCTTCTGTGTCTTTCATTTCCTTACCAGTGAGTATACTCATGGTCCAGTTGAATTTACTATTAAATCTACTCTAAATATATTAATGATAAAATGTTACATTTATATCACAGATCCTTCTAGGTGGACCCACAGCCAGTCAGTTGCCTGTTCATGAGTATTACCTACTATTAACGCGACAACATCTACAAAACTTTGGTCACTCTGCTGAAAATTCCAAATCATCTAACTTAATGAGAAGATACTATTCATTCCTCGAAAGTTTTTTAGAAGAGTTTAAGAAATACAATTTTTGGCCATTTAATTTTTTCTTTCATGTTTTGTATTTTGATTCCTATGGGGAAATGTCAGAATTTAATAGATGGATTTCAGTAGTATAAAATTTATCATTTTTGAGGAAATTTAGAATAGAACTTGCCAACTAATCTTGATTATTCATCACATTGATGGATATATTGCCTAAAGTTATAAAATGCTGGATTTGATAAATGTCTAAGGTTCTTTTCAGTCATATATTCTTTGACTATAAAACAAATATTTACTACAGTATCAGTCATTTCTTTAAAAAGTTCTATAGTTGCATGATAACATTTCATTAAATCATGTTTATCCTCTGGAAAATACATATTTTTATTTAACCTTTGGCTTTCCTAGTAATATAAACCTGTACATTCAAGTATGGGTTTCTTTGCAGAAAGTATCTGTGCTTGGACTTGTATTCATTGCATCTTATATATGCTTGAGTCATGGTCAATACACAATAGTTGAATGAATGAATAAAATGTAATGCATTACCTATGTATAAAAATACAGTATACAAAAATCCAAATATGTGTACTTATTCTTTGCTTTATTTATCTGATTGTCACTCACATTCTACCAGAAGTGGCCATATAGAGCTGTTTTTGAAATTAAATTACCATGTACAGCAAAATGACTTTTTCTTAAGTTCCATTATTAATGACGAAGCTATCGTCATTTTAACAGTTGTGCAACATACTATTGGTGCTCTCTGAGATGTTACAGAGCTACTTCATAACTTACACAAGAAAATTAGGCTTCGTACTTATAGCCATATTTCATTTTTAGTCCAGTTTGATCATCCTAATCTTCAAAATAACTTTTGATTAGGAACCCTAAATAATTCCCCACTCCGGACTATTCTTTATTTAGGTTAACTTCCAGTTCATATCCAATCATTCTTTTAGTGACAACAGACAACAGATAGTACATGAAATATTTTACTTATAAATTAATGACTCAAATAAAAGAGAAGGAAAGTTAATGTGATAAGGAGAGAAATGGAGAGAGATGATAAAACAGTACTTTCTTTTTCTTTTCTCCATCCTTCACCCCTTAGTCCTCAGTGGAAAAAATATAAAGCATAATATAAATAGGAAGATGTTTGAAGAAGATATTAAAATATTAGTTCTTTTCTTGAAAGGTTTTACCTATGTGGGAATATTATAATTGCACCATAATTGTTAAAGTGAAGCAGGAAATATTTATTTATCTTCTTGATACTTTGATTCTTGACCCACACTAGAGTGGATATGAAGCAGTATTTTCTCAGTGTTCCAAATATTTTAATACAAGTTGAATTAATCCTACAATTTTCTTTGGACTTGTCTGCATGAATCAAAGGAAAAAAATAGACTAGTTTGTGATCTCGAAGTGTCAGTGCAACAGAACCAAAAACAGAGTTTAGAATATCAGGAAGGCAGAGAAAGTATGAACATTATTGGATTATGAGATAGATACAAAGAGCAGAAACATGCTTTCAAACCATTTTGAAGAAATGGAAGAAGAAATGGATACATTTTACAGTTTTTTCTTATCCTGCAACTTTATCTGGCTTCTTCTGTATCCTTTGACTGTTTCATGTGAAGAGATCAAATAATTTATAATGCCTTTGAAGGTTATTTAAGCGATATGATTTCAAAGCCTACATTTTGGATTCCCATGTAAACTTTTTTTTAAATTTAAATTTAATCATTCCCCAAACATATTAGTTACATTACACCTAATTATGTATCTTAAGATAACTTAAACCTCTTTCAGTTGGATTTTACTCCAACTGTCTAGATTAATTATGAACCATTAACATGTCCTCCCTTAAAAATATTTTATATTCATGATTACCAATGTTAGGGAACCTTTGTCAACAGAGAAAAAACATCCTATACAGTTTTAAAGTATGTGACTATCATAAAAAGAGGCATATGTACATGAGGTTGGGTAGAGGGGTCTTAGGGATTGGGAAGAATACATTTTAGAGCTCTGTAAATTTTTAATTCGTGAATACACACACACACATATACATATATCCCATAAAATACTGCAAATAAACTTAAAATATGGAAAGCAAATGACATGGTTAGCTAGGTTTCTTCACTAGTAGAACACACCAGCCTCACAGCAGATCAGGTTGAACATATCAGATTTTTTTGGTTGTTGGGATATATGAAAGTGATGGTCAGGAATTTTGTTTGTGTTTTAATTGTTGTTTTGAAATAGTTAGATCATATCCACAGTATTAATTTTTGACTTAAGATTCAGAGTTAACAAACTGGAATACACAAACACACCTGAAATGTCTAAAGATGCTATTTCCAAACTGTGACAATAGAAAAATTACTGAAATGACTGGTCTAGTATGGATTCTAGAGTAACAGATTATTACTAACAACTACATTATGACTGAATTTCTTAATTTGTACAAAACTACAGGATATAAAATACTATTTAGGTGGAGATGGTACAACCCCAGCTATTCAGCAGGCTGATGTGGGAGGATTGCAATTTTGAGGACAACCTGGGCAATTTAGGGAGATCTTGGCTCAAAATTAAAAACACTGCGAATGTAACTCAGTTGCAGAGGATCTGCCTAGAATGTGGGAGGCCTTGGCTTAGATCCCTAGTGCTGCAAAAATAAAAGTAAATTTTAAAAATACTACTTTACTGTGACCTTAATTTGCATTTTCTGAGTTCTACAAGTAACAAAATCAAGTGCCAGTGATACGGCTCAGTGGCACAGTGCCTGCCTGGCAAGCACCAGGTCCTGAGTTCAATTCCTGGTTAAAAAATAAAACAATAAACAAAACAGTAACAAGGTTAAGCACCTTTTCAGGTATGTATTCACAGTTTGTGTTTCTTCTAAGAAACTCTTTATAATTTTTCAAAACTAATTGTATTATCTATTCCTTTTAGAGTATATACAAGATGAAGATCAAGTTTTGCCTTTCACCGTAGCCTCATCTGTCTGTTTAAGGAGAGTACTGCATAAGTTTCCTTAAATTTTCTAGGAATTTAGAACCACTGTTGCATCACCTCAATGCTTTTGCTTACGCTATTTCTTCTGCAGAATTTCTTTCTCATTTATGACATTAACATTTTATTCATTCTTTAAGCCTCAGCTTATGAAATTTCCAGAAAGCCTTCCCTAAATTTCTTTTTTTTTATTTAAAGAGAAAAAAAGGACATAAAAAAACAAAGCAGTAAAAAGGTACAAATACAGTATTTCAAGAAAAAAATATACAGTAAGAAATCACCAATTAATAGGTTACATATTATCTTCCCAGAAACAGTAGTCCAAATTACAAAATTAAAGCATATAAAGTGGACATTCATACAGTGAAATTGGAGACAGTTCCGTTCAATGATCCAACAAAAGCTCAGTAATACAGTTTTCCATCCTACATACTCAAACGTACCTGCGGTTATATCCCTTAGTCCACCTTCCTTTCCTCTCTTTTTTACAGTAACAATTAGACTTTTTGGGTTTTATTACTCCCACGGTTCTTATTACTTTTTTTGACTAAGCAAAACAGAGTCAGTTAGAACAGAAGGGTGGGCATAGCATACAATGCAAAAATAGAATACCAGGTGATCAAAAGTGGTTATCAAAAGCAAGTGTGCCTCTTGCTATTTTTAAACTGAGTTGTCTATATCATCAGGTATAATAGAATTGATCAAAACAGTACAGAACAAGACCAATAAAACCTACGCTGAAGACCTTGCAGGACTTCAAAAAAAAGGATAATAGTCAAACCATAATGGGCATCATAATATATCTTATTGCCTTCAAAGTGGTTGCCTATACCCTCAAACTTGATACTATCAAACAAAATAGAATATAGAATACAGACAGAACAAGATGGGGAGAGCAATACTGGGGTTCAAATCAGGTTGATAGGAAAACCAAGAAAGTTACTATAATATGTGCCGCTATTTTTAATTTAGTTTTCCCTTAATTAAAAAAATGAGAGAAAATAGATTAATTTAAAAAAAAAGAGGGGAGATTGCGATAAGAGAGGACATTGTAACAGAACAACGCAGGGCAAAACCGAACCATTCAAGCATCATCGTGTTTCACCACCAGATAATCTAACATAATAGTAGTCGCCACAGTGCCTTTTTCCTTGAATTATTTGAGTGTAACTTCATATGCTATAACATCAAGCATATCAAGACAGTGTGAAGCCTTTCAAGAGAATGCAAGAATTACAGGGTATTTAGAACCAGCTAATAGAAAATGAACAACTGTTTCTTTATTACCTCTTTGCCTATAAAGGATTTTGTTTATACTATAGCATACAGTGAAATATAGTAAGATACAACATGCTAAAACCAGTGGAAACAGATGTACCACAGCTTGATAGCCTTCCCTAAATTTCTTACGCTGAATTAAGACCTGCAACTTCAAATACTTGAAACACTTTGTATAGAAGTTATTGGTCAGACTTTAAGGTCCTCAAGAGCGGGACTCTATTGTTTAAATCTCTAACACCTACCTAGGAGGGAATCTAGTTGATAGATGTTGTACGTGTAAAACTCAAGATAGATTATCTGATAGGAGGCTAGAAATAAAGATTTTAAGCTCAGTACGAAGTTAAGGGCTAAAGATGTTGATAGCTAAAGTCATGAAAGAAGTGGCTAATACTTGCCTTTGTAACAGAGAGACAACTGTGAACATATTTACAACTTTATGAAGCAGCTATTGCTTTAAAAATGAAGATGCAGACTCAGAAAGGTTAAGCAACCAGTTCAAGGTTCACAAATCTAATAAAAGATACAGTTGGGATTTGAAGTAAGGATTTTCTTATTTTAACGCCAAGCTTTTTTTCGTTTCATAACACTGGATGAACTTACCCCGCACACTGAATGGAAGGCGATGGTGAGTAGGTGAGCAAGAGAGAGAAAAGAGGATAGAAGATAAATCCTGCAGATCCCTTAGGAAGAACCCTAAAAGAGGGAAGAAACATGAAAGGACCATTAGGAAATGGTAGGCTAGGAGATGTGAAGATTTCAGGAAGATTTGACAGGCGTTTCAAATGCTGCACAAAGATCAAGTAATTTAAGGATGGAAAAATGTCTTGAGTTTTAATTAGATCACTTGGTAACCTTGGAAACAACAGTAATTAGTAGAAGGAAGCAGGATTATAACTGGTCAAGAGATGAACAGAAGGTGAGGATGGGCAATGTCAGACGAACAGATTATTCTTCTAAAAATTTTAGCTGTAAAGAAAAGCCAGACAAATATGAAAAAATCTGGGGCTTATATGTTTCCTTTTGAATTTTTAACATTATACACATGCTTAAAAAGAGAAAAATTCAGCAGAGAGGAAGAACTCAAGTTACCCGACTGTACCATTTTATTTGGAACCACTATTTGGAAAGGATTCAAAATAATGATGGACAAAGGGCTTTCCTAACCAAAATGTCAATATGTGTTTGCAGCCGAAACATTAAAAGCCAAAAACCCGTCTTAGCTGACAATTGTGAAAAGACGTCCGAAATTTCACATAGGAACAACAAAACTCAGACTTTGATCCGTGATCCGAACAGGTTGTCCCTATTCATGTTTCTGTCCAATGGATCAATTAAGTCGCTAGTTACCCTAGCTTTAAGTCTGTCTGTGACTTCTCTTCCTCCTTCCTAGTATCTAGTGGATTATGAAGTGTTAGAACAGTGAAAAAAAAAAAAAAAAACGGGAAGGACCTTTACAAGGGCCAAGCTACAAATTACCTCTCACAGAATTTAAATTATTTAAATTACTTAAGGTTGTTACACAAGTTCTGGCCAGAATGAGTCAGGAACAAAACTTTGAAAAGTAAGCACCTATCAGACTAAATTGTGCGTGTTCCCAAATATACTACCTGGCGTGCACACACACACACACACACGATGAACCTGTTAATGAATACTGGTATTGGCGGCTAAGAATTACGAGAGTCACTAAATCAATTGGAGCTTGGTAGCTGTTTTTATTACTTTAGTTCACACTCCTCGTTTTACAGAGGAAAAATCGTAGACCCAGAAAGATGAAGTAAACTGCTCAAAGCTCACACGCTACTCACTGGCGGTGAAAAGACAGCAAGAGAAGCCCGAGGGTGCCGAGACGGAGCAGATTTACGGAGCGGGAGGAATCAAACACCACGACGCGCAACGCCCCGTGATCCTCCCCTCCGACGCTCTTCCCGTCCCCTTCCCCTGGGCCAGGTCCTTATCATCGCAACAGCTTCTGACAGCTTGCCTTTCCTCCTCCCTGCCTGGCTGACGCTCCAAAGCCCAGATCAATAGACATCAAACAACGCCTTTCAACTGCTGCCTACAGCGTAAAGTTCAAAGCACTCCGGCTCTTAACCCGCCAGCCGCGTCTTATCTGGGTTTTCAACCCGAAGCCCCGTCCCGCCCAGCTCCGCCCAGCCAGGCTCTTCTGCCCTGGGGCTAGAGCCGCGGGAGTGCTCCAGGCCTCGGGCCGGATCAGCGACCCGCAGGGTGGCCCCGCGGCCCTCACCTAAGGCTCGGCTTCTCCCAGCCGCGCCAGGCGGCAGATGAGGGGGCTCTTCCAGATCAGTCTGCTCAGGCCCTCGCCCACCAGTAGGCACAGTTATCTAACAGGCATTGATTAAACGCACGAGCAAAGGCCACACGGTTTACTTCAGACAATAAAGCGCAGCTAGAAAGCGCTGAGCACCACCATTCACGCCTAACACTCGTAACCCAAACCGCAGCGTACCTCGCCGCTTCAGACTAGTTCCAGCTAGATTTCGGAGGCAGTTTTAACGTCAAATAGGATCCCAGCGATTCCCCGGGTTCAGCCAATCTGCGTAGCCCCTTGGGCTCGGAAACCGCAGCGGGCTGTGATTGGCTGACAGAGTTAGCCTGGGGTGGGCAAAGAGCGACCGGGCGGGTAGGAGAAGCGAGGGCGGGCCCGAGCGAAGAGGCCTCTGCGCAGGCGTCGATGGGAACCAAAAAAGATAAACAAACAAAACCCACCGTCCTGAGGCCTCCGGGTTTTCTGGCCCACTTGTCCCTCCCGCGAGCTCCTTGGCCTCCCAATCGTCCCGCTTTCCCCGCCCGCCTAACGTCTGGGCACGTACCCCACGCGGCGCGCAACACGCAAGGCCTGCACTTAACCTCTACTCGCCCAGTGCAAACTTAAAAGTCCCGGCGGGCGCGAGCGGCGCGCAGTCGGGCGGCGGGAGCGGACCCGGCAGCCGCGGCCCGGCCGACCATGACTTGCTACCGGGGCTTCCTGTTGGGCAGCTGTCGGCGCGTGGCGGGCGGCCGGGCGGCGCTGCGCGGGGCGGGAGCGGGAGCTGGAGGCCCCGCTGGCCGGCGGCACCTGGGGCACGGGCAGCCGCGCGAGCTGGCGGGCTGTGGCGGCTTCCGCCCCTCGCGGGTGGTGGTGGTGGCCAAAACCACCCGGTACGAGTTCGAGCAGCAGCGGTACCGCTACGCGGAGCTATCGGAGGAGGACCTGAAGCAGCTGGTGGGTCCTGGCGCCCCCGCCGTTGTGCCCTGGCCGGGGTCATGGGAGGCGGCTGCGGGTCCTCCCGGGACTGTCCTGGGCCCTGCGCCCCGGCCGCCCCCACCCCCTGTGGCTCCCTTTGCGCGCGTGTAGGCGGCAGTCGGTGTCCTTGCAGAGCTCCCACGTCTCGTAACGCCCGGCGGGGGCGCCCCAGGCAGAGGGGCAGCTGCGAGTCCCGTGAGTGGCACCTTGGGGATTCACTTTTGCTCTGGCACCGCTGTGGTGCCTGTGATTGAGAATAGCGACTGTAGCCCCAAGGAGGATAGCCCTTAGCTCCAGGTCTGGGCGCCTTGGGAACGACCCCCAGGCAGGAGGATCTGTGGGCGCCGCTACTGGCAGCGGATAAAGAGGGCCCAGCGGCGCGGACACACCCCCTTGCACCAGCCGGCTGCGAGGCCTGGGGCGTTCGGGAAAGTCCTAGTCTGGGCTGGCCTTTTCCGTGGTGGTGGCGGCATGTGGCCTGCAGACTGCGGTGTACGGTTTGTTTCAAAAGCACACGTGTCTGTTGCTGGGAGTGGCAAGAGAGGAAATTTGACTTGAATGTATGTTTTTAAGTAGGAAAGTCAGACAAGGGGCAAGTACACCAGGTAATGAGTGAAATAAAGAACCTGCGTCTTTTCTGTAGCAGTGTCTACACAATTTGCTGTATTGTGTTTTTATTAGGTATAGAAACCCTGTGTGCATGTGAATGTGCGCGCACCTCTGTGTGCTGGAGTTCAATAGCCCTCCCTGCCCCCTTTTAACTCTATGATTCTGGGATCAAACCCAGGGCCTTGTGCATGTCAGGCATGTGGTCTGCCACTGACTGACTTCCCAACCCCCATTCCCTTTTGAAAAATTTCAAGACAGGGTCTTACTGAACTGCCCAGAATGACCTCAAATTTGGGATGTTTGTGCCTCAGCCTACAGAGTAGCCTACAGAGTACCAGGTGTGTGCCTCCCCCGTTTGACTTTAAAAGTTTGCTTCCATGTCATTAGCCATCAGCTTTAGGAAATAGAGACTGACCCATGTAATCAGGAACAATATATCTAAAAAAATGTCCTTCAGGAATCCGTTGATTGTTGGCACTGTGCCCCAAAAGGGTTTGGAAATCATTGCATAGTATTATTACTTTTAAGAACAGGCTACCTGTTGTGAACACCTGCTATTATTTGTAATCTTCAGGTTTCATGAAATATCGAAATGAAATTGTAAATCTGCCTAAGTGCTGGGCCTTGTTACTGTTAAACGTTTTGATTCTTTATAGGTTAATGGAAGAGGGCATGTTCCTTTACCTGGTGAAGTCTAAGTGGAGATTTGTTCTCTCCTTTTCCTAAATGTTTGAGGTAATAGTTTATAGAACACATCTGGAATATTTAGAGTAAGTGGACAGTTTAAACAGGGTTGTTAAAGTGAGTGAAATTAGTCATATGAAATTATTTTGGGAAGAGAATGTGTCCTTTGTATTGTACTCCTTTTGCAAGGTCCAAATTTTTGGAAGTTATCAAATGCTATGTATACATAAATATGTTCTTCATACGACTTTAGCGGAACCTCTCACAACAATTTGAAATAGTACACTCAAAGAAAAAGAACAAATATATGAAATAGTACAATCAAAGAAAATAAAAAAAATACACATTCAAATTGGCACGTTCAGTTTGTGGGATTGGAGTCAGAAGTGCTAGCTCTGCTTGTGGTAGACATTCCATGTTTTTAATGTCTTTGGGGTCCTGGTGAAAATGATACTTTCTGTGTACTATTGTCAGCTTTCAAAGTGCTTTCACCCAGTGAATTGCTAGGGTTGGACCAAATACTTTGTAGTGCTGGCACTGAAATTTTTTCCAAGGCCTCAGAAAAGCAGGTGGTTTTGAATTGCGATTAACTCTTGGATCACTAAACTAGATTGCCACTGATAACTTTTAAAAAGTAGGGGAAAAAAATCAATATTTAAAAAAAAATCTGCCTAGTGTACCCTGAGTGGAGAAATTACTTAATAGGTAAATATTTTTCTGTTGCTCCACAATGCTGTTTGAAATTAGAAATCTTTGAAGTAAAACTACTAAAATGAAAAAATACACAGTATATGTTGTAATTGCCGGGTAGTGGAATAGTTTTCTGAGCGGATTTTTTTTTTTTTTTTTTTTTTTTGGTGGTGATGTTGTTATTAGAATTTTATTGGATTAACCCCATAGTGATAGGAATTTATTTTATGTTTATATTAAGGGCAGTACTTACAGTGCAGTAAGGAACAGTTCAAGAAGGCAGGGGTAGATGAAGTTCTAAAAGGAAATTCTGTAATGGAACTAGAAAGGACTTAAATGTTGTTTGCTACATTGTTGGGGTAAAAACAGGTGAACCGTCTGGAGTGAATACAAAAGATGATGACCAAGTTCTTGAGTTTTCTGGCCACATGGCTGCTGTAAATAGTGTCATGGTAAATTGGTTTTGTATCAATGTATTCTCTTTTGTTGTGGTTGCTTGCTTTCATATATGCAGAGTAGGTCTCTGTTAGGATACTTATTAACATGTAAATAGAAGATGAGGGACAGAGTGCCAATATAGTGTTGTACCCTAAAGTGTTGTGGTTATCTAACCTGGTAGAAATGTAATCAATAATAGGAAATACCTTTTTAGATGATAAAGCCTTGTCTGCCAAGGCTGGGTTTGACTTTCAATTACTGTTTTTTGTGACTCTGTTTCACTATGTAGTTCAGGTTGGCCTTGAACTCACTTTGTAACCGGGGCCTCTGGGTGACCCTTCTGCCTAAACTCCTGAGTGCTGGGATGAGAGGCAGAGACCACCACACCTGGCTTCAGTGACTATTCACACAGGATGTGGGTCACATTGCTTTATTTCGTAGTCTTGCCTTTTCCCCAACCAATGACTTGTCTTGTGAATAGAGGATTTTTAGTTAAGGATTTTACCTCTGTTTTCTCATGACCTTGCAGAAATGAATAAATCTCATTATAGTTTATTTGCATCATAAAAACATTAGCTGTAAAGTTTTTTGTTTAAGAATATTTTAATATAAAATGAAAAATCAGTTTCTATACCCCTACCTTCATTTCAAGTCATAACATCAGAAGCATTCTTTTTTTTTTTTTTCCACGATTCCCTTTTAGAGTTTTTTTTTAAGAATTCATAATGGGTTAACATACACAGTATCATTTAACAACACCTCTATTATTAAATTATTCCCATTACTTGCCTTCTTAATTGATTGGGATTTTGTTTCCCAAAAATAATGTTGAGGTTTAGGTTGTAGCACTTGGGGCGGATGTCACAAGGTAGGTAGTAAATGTATTGGGTGCAGTATGAGTATTTTTTAAGTTAACACCATCTGGTGCCAGAGCCTCCTAACTGAATCCTGCACCTCTCAGATCTTCCAGATGCAGGCTCCAGAGTGGTCTATCTAAAACTGAACATCTGGCCATTCATTGGGTGCTTCTGCTTACAACTCCTCTGAAGCTCCCCATAATTTTTTGTCACCTAGGAAACTTGTTAAGGTACAGATGCCTGAAACTTAACCCCCAAGGTTCTGGTTGAGTTGTAGAGAATTCCCAGACTTTGCTTCTCTAAATATACCCTAACATTTCTGACATTTTGCAGTTTTTTTTTTTTTTTTTAAAATCTCCTCAGTGCTGACTGTTGGATCTGAGGTCTCGCGTGTGCTAAGTAAGACTTTACCACTGAGCCCCAGCCTCATCTTTTTTATTTTGAGAAAAAATCTTGCTGAGTTGCTCAGGCCAGCCTTGAATTTATAATATTCCTGCCTCGATCTCCTGAGTAACTGGGGTTATAAGTGTATGTCACATTGCCTGACCCATTTTTTTTCGTCTGAATTCCAAGGATCTGTATTTTTAAGCAGCCCCTTTCCAGTTTTGCAAGTGGCTCACATTCTCAGAAAAAACTACTATAATTTTCAAGTCCTGTGTGGATTGAGCGTCTTCGTAATTTGAGGCTCCTGTCTGACTCTTGAACTTTATTGCTTATCACTTCTTGTCTTGAACTTCGTATTCTAGCAATTTAAAATATTTTTAATCTCCAGGTTTATTTATTGATCATATTAAAATGGTTCAAAATGTAAAAGATACAGACTGTTTTATAATAAAAGGTCTTTTTCTTTTCACTCGTCATTCAGTTTTTGTCTCTAGAAATAACTTACTGATTTTTGTAATAAGTGATTTTGGTGAAGATGGCCTTGATTGTGTTTGTCACCTAATGATATGGAGTTTGCAAACAGAAGTGAAATTTTTCTGAACGTTTTTGTTTGCAAACAGAAGTATTTGTGAATATTGCAAACAGAAGTATTTGAGATATTGCTATATGCATATTTATTTAATGGTGTACATGACTTAACACTGAACTTGGTTTGAGCTGCTATTAAATATATACAGTGGCTATTTGTGTTCATATCTGTGTGAATCAAGCTGTAAGATAGAAACCTGAAACTGTTACTGAGTCAAAAGACACATACATATGAAATTTTAATAGGTATTGCCAGATTGTCTTCCTTAGAGATTATATCAATGTTTACTTTTGTTAGTGATATACTTGCTTTTTATGTCTAGTTTATCAAATTTTGAGGTCATTTCCAACCAGTAGATGAGGAATGATATTTCAGGGTGATTTAATTTCATCCCTCAATGTCTTTGCCTTTGTGCCCCTCCCTGCCTTGAGAGCTCATCTTACATCCTTTAGCCGGTTTTTGTCTTTCAAGGTCAGGCTTAGACCTTGCTGTCTCAGGAAACCTTGATAATCTTGCTATGTTCACACCTCTCTGCCTACCAAGGTTGGGCTAGAAGTTCTTCATTATATCATTAATCTGTGGTTATTTTCTTTTCTAGACTAAACTATTTGGGGACAGGAATTCCATTTAATTATCATCCTCTATACCCACTAAAAAAAGTGGTAAAACGTTTCTAATGTTAAGATGATGTTTTAAAGAGACTGAGGATCGCGGCCCTATTGCCAGGT